ATGATGATCGATTAATTCTTTTCAAAAATCTTTGCGTCTGCTTCGTTCAATTTACAGATTCGAAAGGAATATTCTAGAAGACATGCGCATACAAGAATTATCAAGATTTTTTAAGTACCGAGCCCGATGATTTATGACGTTCAATGTTAAGAAACTAAGAGTTATCTATCTTTGCATGTAAAACATTAAGCTGCACGAAATAACCAGGTTTATCCATATTGGATAAACCCCATTAACTGGTTTATCCACACAGGAGCGTGTCTTCCAGATTTCGAAATGTAAAATTAATTAAGCTATATGCTCATGAACCATTCTTATACTTCAAACACGAAATACCATGTTTTGAAAACATATCACAACTATATACAAACTCAATAAGTTTCTACACACAAGAACTTTGAAAAAAATTATTGGAATTCGGATTAACGTTAGCCAGGTGTGCTCCATTTTTAGCTGACCTTTTTTTTTTTTTTATTCCTGTGTAGGAGACATCATTCAAAAACCTTCCACACGAGAAGAAGAAAAACTTGCCTTGGCATTTAAATTGGCAATTAGATACATCGATGGTGTATTATCAATTAACAATACATTTATTTACACCGGTTATATTCAATATATCCCATAAAACCTTAATAAAAGACACTACCGAGTCTGCCACATCTGTTTTGTATTTGGATGTTTAACTGACTATGAATAGTAAGGATGAAATATATGGAGTTAACGAACAGCATTCAAGGTCAGAAGTCCATAAAACAATACAAAATTGATGCAGAGCAAACACGGACCTCCAAAACATCAGATTTGGGATCAGGTGCCATGTAGTCCTGAGTGAGCATCCCTTATCGACAAGTCACACCCGCCGCATGCTCCTTGTCATGATCGGGAAATAACGAAAAAAATCATGCGACAAGAGTGGAAATAACCATTGTTAAAATATAAGTATGGCATCATCAAACTGAAACCTTGTAATTATTCCAAGTATGGACTTGCTTAGATTTGAAGGAAATAGCTCAGAATTCTATTGGAATGAAATTTACACCATCAAAACACGAGGGGATATCACTTCTGGCAAGAATCAACCACGCCTTCTTATTTCTCACTAGTGCTTTGAATAATTTTGCTCATTTTTCTGCAAGAGCACATCCGTCGTTTTTTTTCTACTGGAGGAATACAAGGTTGTTGGGTCAATAGTCTTGTCTACTCCTCTCATGAATCGTTCCTTCAGCGACAGAAAGCTTTTAATTTTGTTTATTTCTTTATCATTCAACACCTTGACGTCATAAAGCATGAAAACATTAATGTTGGGTACTGTGTAACATTCTCTCTGTCAGTTAAAGAACACAACAACTGCCAGTTTATATTTTTGCACTGATAAGCCTCTTCTAAATCATCTGAATATTATTGATATAATTACGGAAATCTTTCTATTTTCCCTTTGTTTTTCTGCATCCTTAAAATGCCTTGACCAAAAGTTGAAAAATATTTTAAGAATAAATATACTTTTGAGCTCAAAGTTCATTTTTTGACAATCCCAGGCTCAGAATCTAAAATATCACTTGCGAATGACTTATGCAAATTGCTCTTCATACCTGAATTTTTTTGTATCATAAAAATGCTTTCTCCCTTTACTTTATTGACAATACGTCATCGGTATATTTCAATGTCGAGTTGAAGGCCACAGCAAGTGTTTTCTTCTTTTCACGTATAAGATTTTGGACAGTTCTGTTTTATAAGAATACAAAAATAGGTCTGCTTATAACGGGGCGCAATTTGTACCCATGGGAATTCCAATGGATTTTTTGAAGACCTGATCTCCAAAAACCACACAGATATTGTCAATCACAAATCCAAGCATCTTTTTAAGTCAACTTCAGAGTACTTATGTGTACAATCAGAAAAGTTTTAACAAAATAATTTTGCAGATGACCAACGACAATGTAAGTAAATAAACGAGTTCCATCTTTATTGAAAAAGCAGCTGTCAATGGTATCAAAAGCCGGACTTTAATTAATTGTGGGTAATGGTTGTGTTTTAAGTGAAAATTAAGTCTTAAGTTTTTAAGCTGTTGATTTTGGCAAAAACTTGTGATTTTAAATTTCCCAAAACTTCTTTGGAATTTTTAAGTATCAACATTTGATTTACACCACTTCTCGAATATATTGTTTCACAGTACTCTTAGAATTCCTCTTTCACTACCGTTAATTGATATCTTAGTCGGGAGTAACGAAAGAGACTTGGTTGGACATTTACTGGAATCTGCTTTGTATCTTTATTTGTAAGGATTTTTGTGAATTTTCGGAATCCAATATACATGTAGATCTATGTGGTTAATCAAATTCATTTTGGTTCTTTGGAATATCAAAACGAAGCATCGACAGTAGTAGGCTATCACTATCAATCTTCTCTCATTGATGTAAATGGCTTGCAAATAGATATAGTTTTCCTCGTTTAGCGCAAACCTGAGATGAAAGCTCAAGTGACCTTTTCTGATGACAATTTGTCTGTGATTTTGGACAAATTCTACTTCATAGAATACAAAAATGGGTCTGCTAATACCGGATGCAATTGGTACCCACGGCTTTTCCAATAGACTGTTGGAAGAACTGGTCTCCAAAAACCACATACATGTACTTCAATCAGAAACTCGAGCATCCTTTTAATGTCAACTTCAGAGTACAGCTGTACTTGTGTGTACAAACAAAATAATTTCGCAAATGACCAATGACAAGGTAAGAAAAATCACGAGTTCAATTTTTATTGAAAAAGCAGGTGTCAATGATATCAAAAGCCTGCCAGGCACTTTAATTTATCGAGGGGAATGGTTGTATATAAAGTTAAAAAGTTTTATACAATTGATTTAGATGAATTTTGCGATTTCAAATTTTCTAAAAGTTCCTTAGAATTTTTTAAATATTCACATACGAGGGGCGTTCAATAAATAATGTCATTGGAGCTGGGAAAGAAACCAAAAAACGCCTTTCTATGATTTAGTCTGAATGATTTAACTAATATATTCTCGTTCAACTAAAACACATGTCTGTGACATTTTTATTCAATTTCTAATTGTTTTTAGAACACATTTTTGAGTTTGACCCTTCGTATACTGTAATATGGCAGATGCTATGATTTACTGTACGTTTTTTTCTTTCTGATAGTTGTTTATCTAAGTTTGGGAAATGAAACAAGTCAAAGGTTGAAAGATATGGCAAATTTTGTTGGTGTGACAAAACATTAACTTTCTGTTTATCCCGAAACTCCTTTACTCTTCATGGCCTGTAGGTTTGGACGCTGTCATGAAGAAATCTAATGTAATAAATGCCTCATTCTGCGTCCTTCCTCTCATAAACCTTTCTCAATTTTTTTTTGCAAAAAAATTGTTTTCTAGACTCCTCCAGAAATTGAACTTCCTCCCCAAATATGGATTTGAACAATAGGACCGATAATATGTAAGAAAATAGCATATTTGTCAAGTGCATCTTATTGTAAATTTGTTTTGTGGGTTTAAAGCAAAATGGATTCAAGTTTCATTATCTGTTTGAATTGCAGACAAACGTGGATAAGTTCAATTTCTGATTTTTAAAAAAAAATAATTGTTTAGATATTCCTACACACTGTCGTTTTCACTCATGTTTCAAAATATAGAGTGACCTTTGAGTATTAAACTTTTTTACTATCAAATGTTTCTTTAAAACAGTGTGAACTACCCCCAAAATGATTTCTATCAATTTTGCTGTGTGTCTTTAAGTCAATAAAACATAATCAGTGATAATTTGTTGAATTTTCGCAAATATACATTGGTTGTAATGTTGTAAGTCCTTGTTGCGATGCCCATTATATAATTTTTGTTTTATTGAAATCCACCTGTTCACGTGTCTATAAAACAGACATTGTTTGCTGTAAATTTCACATATTTCAGTGAATATATTTTTGGGATATTAACAAGTTTTACAGCTGTTTTAATGAAGCGTTTAATTTTACGATAGTTAACTGATTCTTGATCATTCATTTTTAATGCAGTTTCTCGAATAGCCCTTGTTTTCCAGCTTCCCACAATCAAATAATGCGATGAAAAGTGGTCACATAAACTGTTATCAATTTATTAAAGATTCAATAATGAGAGAAAGCCAAGCTTAATGTCATATGATTTCTATGTTGTGTGTCATCTAGCAAATGACATTATTTAGTGAACGTCCCTCGTATGATATACGGTACAACACTTCTCGAATATATTCTTACACAGTACTCTTGAAGTTTTTCCTTCACTCCTTTACATATTTTAGCGAGGAGTAAAGAAAGATGCTTAGTAGAACATGTACTGGAACCTGCTATGTATCTTTATTTATAAGAATTTTTATGAAGTTTTAGAATCCAGTATACATGTGGATCAACAAACAACTAAATTGTGTGACAAACACTAGTTGTATGGCTTCAGCTTTTCCATTTTCAACTTTCCTTACTTATGTTGTAATATTCCGCTATCACCTGCATACGGTGTTTACATCCCTTAACTCATTTGATACTCTATAGCATGCTTTGAGCACAGGCACTTGGGGTATGGACCCCCCTTTCCATTTTTCTTTTCTTTTTAAATCTGGGGTCGAGTCACCTTTTTCCTATTTTGTATTCTAGAATGCACTATATATTATCAATAATATAACTTTTTTGTCTCTGTAAGCTGTTTTTAAAAATATCGTTTTCGACTGATACATCTTTTTTGTATCAGTCGAAAAAGAAATGTTCCGTCAACCTCGACAGTGCATCGATACAGACGGATGTGACAGGTCAACAGTGGATGCGTACTCCTCCTAGGCACCTGTTTCCACCTCTTAGAATTTCAGTGGTTTGTTTTATTTCGAATCCTGTTCACAGCTTTGAGTGTTTATATTTTTTTCAGATCGATCACCGCTCGTTTTCAACCTTCTGCTTAGTGAAAAATTCTCAGAAAGGGATAAACCAAAAACAATCAATAAATCATTTCAGTAAGAAAAATGACTAAGAAATTAATTTAAAGTATTTATTTCAGTTCAGAAACCTTGCACATACACATTTATACAAAAACATACAAAATTGAAAAAAAATATTATGCTAATAATATCCATCGCCATTTTGGCATGTGTTTTGAGGACAGCCGAGGCACCTGTATCCGTGGTGGATGAGTACAGTGTCCCGCCGACATTCCGGCCTGATCACTACCGCCGGACAGGCTATATGGGGACACGGTCTAAGACCCGAGGGAGGCTGAGGATCCACACTTGATTCTGAAATATTTAGAATAAAGATGCATATAATCATGTCCTTGGTCTAGCTTGAATGTAAAAGAAATATCAGTATAACATATACAAATGTCCGCTACTAGTATTTGATATAAGAACTATACATTTGAAAAAAAAGATTAAATTTTTCTCGACCATGGCATTTCGCTTATTTTGAAAGTTGGAAACTTCATGAATATTTTAAATACAATTTTGATTTGTTTTGGTTTTATACCTGGACAGCACACAGCGAATCTGTTTCCCCGGGTGCAGCTGTACCCAGAAGGACAGCTTTGTGTGTCACATGACACAGCATTGCCACTTTGTTGGAATGGATTTCCTCTGGGGCATGGATTATTATCTGTAAACAAAAAACGCACATGCAAAATAGAAATATATATTTCAAAGTTGTGTCAGATACCATCGGTCAACTTCATTTCAATAATTACGCGTCAATGCCTACAACATTACCTTATGACCGTTGTTGTTAAATGTTCGTGCACGACATCAGATTTGTGGAATTATTAATTTTTAAATTTGAATGATTTGCAGAATTTGATTACCAGTACATTTAACCCATGATGACGCTATTAAGAAATGTCTACATTGTCTTAAAGAAAAATTAACACTTTGTATAAATGTACGATAATTGAATTTCTAAAAACCTACCTCGACAACATTGACCAAAACCAAAGATAGACGTGACGCAACTAAATCCTGCTGCACAGTCGTTGGGTACGTTAGAGAAGGTCAATTTTAGACACAGGCCGTATTGATCTAGCTGGCGTCCGAACTGGCAACTCGTACTCGAGCCATAACCGTCAGGAAATGGTATGGGGTGGATTGGACCAGGCTGGTCAACAGGGAATGGATTCACTGGCCTTCGCCTTCCGGGTCCATAACCGGAACCTTGAAAAAAAAAAATATACTTATAATTTTTTTGACTATGGAATGTTCCGCCTACATGATCGATACAAAGGGATCATGGTGGGTGTGACCGGGAAATAGGGGATGTTTACTTCTGCTAGGCACATGATCCCACCTCTAGTTTTGCTGAGGATACATGTTTTATCCTGTTCACAGATCTGTTCTTTTGTTGAATTGTAGAGATCAGTTATAGTTCGTTATCTTCACATCTTATCGTTATGCTCTACGTATGTACATTTTCTAAAACAAGGTAAATTATTGACAAACAAGTTGATGAACCAAGAATATCAGCAATCTCGTTTGAAGTCATCAATGCATTTCGTAAGTTCTATGGTCGATACAATGACATTGTCAGCAAATACATTTTATCATTGAGTCAAATGCTGACTGGCTTTTTTCATACTAAATATTAGGCTTTTATTTACACACTTAATTGGTGGAAGATTTTCCCCTTATTTACCGATCATGATAAGGAGCATACGGCGGGTGTGACCCGTCGGCAGGGGATGCTCACTCCTCCATAGCACCTCATCCCATATCTGATGTTTTGGAGGCCCTCGTTTGCTCTGCTCCTATTTTGTATTGTTTTATGGACTTTTGATCTTGAATACTGTTCGTTATCTCAATATATTCCACTTCGTCCTTCTCAATAAAAAATATTTTCAAGAACTAATTCATGAAATAATTAATGAAAAAGATAATTATTTTCTGAATTAGTATGTAAATATTTCATTAAAAAAACTTCGTATGCGTTTTGTACGAATCGCAAGTAAAAGGACTAGCAAAATTAAATTAGGTTATATCTACTTGATAAAAACAAAACCCGTACCTCAAAATTGTTTGGGGGAGAACAATTATAAAAATAAAACCTGTAATTTTCATAATTTATTGTCTACATGTATCTTACCAAGAATTAAAAAAGTATGAATTTCCGATGCTGGTAACTTTACGTTAAAATTTCAAGGGGGTCGATTATGCGAAGAATTGAGCAATATCAGAAATAAAGTTATATGCTTAAAATATCAAAATGTCATTTCTTAATCGAATATCATTAAAATTATCTATATATACATATAGTAAAAAAAACTTACCGTAAGAATTAGCTGCCTGAATGGAGGAGATATAGAAAAGAATACTACACAGATAATAAATCATTTTGGCTAATTCTCTGTTTCAAAAAGTAAATGTCCCTTTATACTAAGATCTCGATTTAAATTGCGGGAATTTTTGGTTAAGATTTTCAAAAAAGCGTGCATATATGCAAAAGATTTTGGGATTGTCCTTTTAAACATGTCTTATGATTAATTAATATTAATTTACAAATAAACCAACAAACCCTTGTCCTTTAAATTACAATAGTGCATCTACATAATTACGCAATCATACAAGGGATCCCCCGCCTGTATGACGCATTAATTACTTCTTTATTCAAATCACGGTTGTTGATTTTTTTTCTTTCAGAAAATTAATATTTCACATTTGTTAATAAAATTATTTTATTATGTATAAATGTCTTAATGCATCATACGTCTTACTACTGACATATCATATATGGTTATTTCGATATTACATTGTACTACTATCAAAATGCATGTGAAATGATGATATTACTAATAATGATAATTAAGAGTGTAGATACACCCTCACCACGTATCAGTGAGAAGTCACTTTATACACATTGTATGATTGATAAGGAATTATTCATATTCTACATGGATATTATTATTTTTCATAATATAACAAATATGTATAAAACATAAATCATCAACCCCCTCCCTGACCACCGCAAGCTTCACTCCACATGTTAGCATAAGTGACTGGAGGAATACTTTTAATATGCAATTCTAGCTATTTATTTGCTTTATGGCGTTTTAAAAATTATTAACTCATGTTTGGACACCTTTTGTTGCAAAATTGATATCAAAACGAGTAAAATTAAGTAATTATTAATTATTTCTTGCTATATTTGATGATGGGCATATAGTTTTTTTTCTTAATCTGTATAACAACAGAACCGTACAATTATTATTTTACCTATCAGCCAAGTGACTTTGTGACTTGCACATACTAAATTAATTTTAATCAATATTCAAGACACACTTACTGTCATGAAAAACCTTTTTGCTAAATGAGAACTTCTTTTTTTTAAAATGGAAGTGATGGACTGCACAAATATCTCTCTATTCCCTTACCTTGACTTTTGCTTGAATTATTTTATTTCAGACCAGGCCACTTTTCTTATCATACGTTTACATCAAACATATAAAAAGTATTGTGGTTTAAATAGAATATTTTATTTAATGTTGGATCTATGGAGAGAGAGAGAGAGAAAGAGAGAGAGAGAGAATGTCAGCTGTGATAGCTATGACCATTTTTATTTTAAGGTAATTGAGGGCAGATTTCTAAAACATATCCTTATAAGCGACTAATGGAAATTTCACAGCTACTAGTACATGTATTTCTTTCTCAATGCAGAAATTAATATTGGAAACCTAACTTTTCTATAAATATAATCATCATTACTAGGAAAAACGTTTATGGTAAACTAACAACAAAACTTACCTTACTTATGCAGCAATATACCTTTATCATCTGCATACAGGGTTTATACATGTATCTCTTAGTTGAGTTGGTACAAGAATATCAACAGTCTAGATTGAAGTCATAATTTTGTAAGTTCTATGGTTGACACAATGACCTTGTCAGAAAATACAATCTACATGTATCATCTTAATTAAAGATTAATGCTGACTGACGTTTGTTAAATCATAATTTTCCGTTGTGGATGGATTTTTCTATTATTTACTGATCATGACAAGGAGCACACGGCAGTTGTGACTGGTCGGCAGGGAATACCCATTCCGCTATGACACCTGATCCCTGATGATTTGGAGGACAGTGTTTGCTCTGCTCCTGATTTGTAATGTTTTAATGGGCTTTTTGCTTGAATACAGTTCGTTATCTCCATATAGTAAATCTTCTGGACGATATAGGTTTTCAGAAATAAAAATAAATTCTTTTTTTTATATTTAAAAATGTACATGTATATACATGTACATACACCGGAGTACATTCTTAAAAACTGGAAAAGAAAAACAGCCTTCTATTTTTCTACATAAAAAATAACCTTTGAAATATTTTCTCGACTATAGAAAAAGCAGAATGACTAAAAAGATGTATTAAAATGTTAATTTGTAAGTAGTGGTTCAAATGATACTGAAAACTTATTGCTTGACCTTGATTTTATTTTGTTATTTTCATATATCATCGAATCAAAATAGACCCCAATATCAAATAATAAGGAAATTGCTTCTCTTAGACACATTGTCCCCAAATTCTAGTCCTGAAGAATATACTTAAATCAAATTTGAATCTTCGCCATTCAAGTGCGCCTGCATATCGAGTTTAATTCAGCAACTAACTTTAGCAATATTACACCCGCATTTTTATAATAAATAATTGAACACATATTAAGACACATACCATAATATTTCAAATTACTATACTAGAGATCACTTCAAATGTTCCTATATTATCGATGGAAAATTAAAAAAAATATCTTATCTTCCTACCTATTTAATTCATTTTTATGAAAGTGTATTTGTAAAATTTATGATATATACTTCGACACCTTACATTACATCGAGATACAAAAGTGCAAACAATGAGTAGTAATCAAGCTTATTATATCCTGTTATCAATATGAAACGTGTACTTGACTCTGAAAGACCAAAAGAGGGATCAGATGCCTATTAGGATTTAGTATCCCCTGTCGACAGGTCCCTGAAATATCTGGATTTATTAGGTAAACCGACTTATATCTTTAGTCAAATTAAGAATAAAATGAAAGACCTTACAATTGAAACTTAACATATTTGACAAAATCATCCCAAGGATAAGTTGTATTTGCAATCATAAAAACGACCATAGAATTAGCAAAATGCTGTTCTTAAGCGAAGTTGTTGAAAGTTCTACAATATATTTCATTTTCAGAAAATTATCTTGATTTAAAATAAAATTTACTACTCAAAACAAAAAATTTACTACCTCTGATGATTCTTCATCTATCAATGATTTGCCATCATCATCTGCTATTAATGACATAATTATAAAGACTGTCAGTAGTCAAGCATTTATTGGGTCGCTTGTTCCACTTATTGCAACAGCTTTAGCACCACACATTCAAGTCATTATTCAGAGTTGTTTACACTCAATGTCTGAAACCATCAAAACCCAGCAAGAAACAATTAAAAAACAAGGCGATGAAATTAAAATGTTCAAGAAATAAACTCTGACCTTGAAAAAAGAGTAAACGACTTAGAATGTGGCCTTGATGACCTTGAACAATACGGCCGAAGAACATGCCTACGCTTCCATAATGTCAACATTACAAACGAACAGGCCCAGAACACTGATGATGTTGTAATTGATATTTGTAAAACGATGGATGTCAACATCGTACCTGATGACATCAACAGGTCTCATCCAATCGGGCGCCCTAACTCCAACAATCTTAGGCAAATAATCTGCAGGTTTCGCAGCTGGAAAATCAAAAACAAAATCTACAGCGCGAAGAAAAATCTAAAGGATAATCCGCAAAATCCCAGCAAAATATTTGTCACTGAAGACTTAACAAAGTACAGACAACTTGTGATTAAAAAAATTATAGAAGCAAAAAAGGCAAACAAAGTACACAGTTTCTGGACATATGACGGTAGAATCTATATTAAAACCGAAAAAGAAGGCGACAGAATCCAAATAACATCATTGGATGATTTGTATGAACTTACCGAATAAATGCATCAAATACTGTATGTGCCTTTAAATAGTAGATCTGTGTCACACGGAGAAAGTGAGTTCTACATTTAAAACGTTAAAGACATGTTTTAAACATTATAATATATATTTTCCACACTCTCCAGTTTTGTTCTCAGAACAATGCTGTTTTACAAGCTTTGTTTATTTACAATCATTGTCAGTCT